GGTTTCACTGGGTTGTATCAGTGATGAGGATGAAACGTGATAGAGATGAAGTGTGATGTAAATGAAACATGATATAGGTGAAACATATCAAGTGATAGGATCAGTCATACAGTTAAAGGGTCCACGACGAATAGTTAGGAAAAGAAAAAGAACCCCCCTCGGACACTGTAACAGTAGATATCTAATTGGATGAGATGTATATTATCTTATACACTTAAGATAAGATAGATGCTATGAAATTCTGTGACACTTACCTTCTCTCAGACCCTGTACTATCTATTTCTAGATGACACCTGCTGATCCTTTTCTCTTAATGTATATGATCCCCATCTATCAGTTTCATCTTCATCTAACTGGTTTTGTACTTCACTAAATCATCTTAGTTGTCATTACCATTATTCTCATCTATCATCTCCTTGATTCAACTCATACACTGATACATCATTCTAGTTTACATCAACAAGATCCTATACTATTTCAAATACTGCTTTTGATTTAAGATGTAGCTATTACCTTATTGTAATTTAGTTTTGTTCTCCTGTTCCCTATGTATACCTCATAGGAATGCCCCTGCAATACAAACCCAGTTGTTTATCATCTGCTTTAGTCAGTTTGTGGCCTCAGACTTTCCTAGCTAGGGAAGCTCAGCTCAGTTGAACAATACTCCAGTATGTGTTACAGCTTCGGGGGGAGGTTCTTTTTTCTTTCCTAACTATTCCTCATTGACCCTGTAACTGTACAACTGATCCCATCACCTGATGTGTTTCATCTATATCAGTGTTTCATCTACATCAGTGCTTCATATCTATCAGGTTTCATCTATATCATGTTTCACTTACATCACATCTCATCTCTATCACATTTCATCTTCATCACTGATACAACCCAGTGAAACTGCTTCATATACATCACTGATCCAACTCAGTGTTTCATACTTATTAAACTCTATCTCTGTTATTTAAGTAGCACTACCTCCGCTACTGTACTTTAATTTTGTCCTCTTGTTCCTACATACCTTCATAGGGACATCTTCAGTAATAG